AGGCAATCCACCTGCCTCAGCCTCCCAAGTGCTGGTATTACAAGTGTGAACCACTGAGCCTGGCCTGATAGCTGTTTATATGAAAATGACCTTGAGGTTAGAATGGCCCAAGCTCCATGATGTCACACAGTACACTGTAGAGAAAGAACACACTTTCAGAAGACAGGACTATTAGTCATCAGCTGTGTGACCTTGAGCAAATTACTTAACTTCTCTGAGCTTCAGATTTCTTATCTGTAAAATGGCAACAAAAATACCTACCGTTCAGACTTGTTGGAAGAACAAATAAGGTATGAAATGGAATCTCTAGAAAGTGCCTGGCATTTAGAAGACACTCCGTGTATGGTAATTTTCACCCGTTCCACCATCCATCCTTCCAAATGAGTCCCTGGTGTAAGATGGCATGAAGTCTGAGACATGACGTAGCTGCTAAAAAATTAGGTCTATTCTCAGTTACATTGATGGAGTGCTGTGAGCAGCTGGCCACATGGCAATGTTGGAGTGTTTTGTCCAGGTCTGGGCATGTTATTTTAAGAGGCACATTAATAAACTGGAGCATTTCTGGAGGATGGTGCTTATGTCATTTGAAGAGTGCCTGAGAAAACTAGTTACATTACCCCTGGAGGGGTGAAAACCAAACTCAGGGGAGAAAAGTATTAGGCTGGCTGACATGCAGAAGAAGGGCACTCCGGTGCACTCACTCCAGTGGAGGGGAAGGGACCAGAAAGGAGGCAGATTTTGACTCAAGATGACCAAACGGGAGGTGGGTTTTGATGGAATGGCTGCCACATGACATCAAGCCTCCTCACGGACATAATTATTCTCCCAGAAGCTGGGAGTCACCTTATGGGAATGAGAGGAAGACGCTTGAAGGGCGGTGGGTTGCCTTAGATTAACGGTTCCTATAGACTTTGGGACATCAAAGATCTGTGAAATGTCAAAAATATGAGGACCAATTTGTCAACCTTTACTCTGGCCATGCACAGGCTGAGCCACAGTTGAAGGTGTTAGCCTCGATCCTGGGGATACCTGGATCAGCCTGCAGTAACCTGAGGAAGCACAGGGTGACACGTGTGGAGTGTTTAGACAGAATACTCTGTACCACCCTGTGGCTGTGGTCATTGCCTATCAGATGACCTTTTGCTTGTCTCCCTCTTCCTGCCTTGTATCTGTAAGGCCTGACCCAGGACAGCCCTGCTCCCAAGCCTGATGGGACCCTCGTCCCTCAGCCCTTAACATCTGTAAGTGTGCACCACCCCCAGAGAACTTGGGATCCAGAAGCCTCACTGCTGCATGTCCTGGATAGCATGCCCTCTCTGTGCTGTGTCTTAACTATGCCACCTGCTTTCTGTAGCCTCTTGACCAGCTGGCAGCTAACATTTTCTGTAAAGAGATAGTAAATATTTTATATTTAGGGTGCCTCTTAGTCTCTTTTGTAGCTCTGTCCTTGTCATGCAAGCTCTGCTCTAAATAAGAAAACCCTATTTTATTTACCCATGTGGCATCTATGCCTGGTCTTTCTACTAATCTGAGTCC